AATAGCTATCAGTGTGCTGATGCGTTTCTTTCATATTACAGACTTATGTTGACCCATTGACTGGATCCAAATTCTATTCGAAGCCCCAGGTAATGCAATATCTGGAAAGCGTAAATTTCAATGCCTCACCAGAAAAACAACAGAAAGTGAGTTTACTCTCCTTTCACTTTAGTCTTTCCTCCTTCTCCAATTCACAGGCTTCTGGTTTCTTTCCCTTTTTATAAGGGGATGGCAGAAAGTAGTAGTGATTTTGATAATATATCGTGGTCTCAGTGTTTATTCAGCTAATATTCCTCCACGTGTCTCAAGTGCTTTCTGGAATCTATTATCTCTTCATCTGCTTGTGATACTTTTTACTTGATTATTGTCATAAGTGGTCGATGCTAATTAGTTGAGGAGCTATAGTGACTCACTTTATGGGTTCACAGTTGTAATCCTTCAGATGAGCAGCTTGACAATGCAAAGCCAAGGCTCATTTAGCTGGCATTTTAGGGGTGCTCATCAGATTCAGTTTTCACTATTGTGCTTTATTTATCTTCCTTACCCCTCAAACTATGTAACACTTGAAAGAGAGGGGATTATTTTTTTTCCCCTCTTGGTTGGGGGTTGGGGGCGGTGGGGGGTTTATGCGGGAGTTTATGCAACTATGAAGGCAATTTTTGCTTTTTCCATATGAGGATTAATGCACTTTAATATATTCTGCCATTATTTCTGTAGGATACTGCAGCATGACCATGGATATTGTCCTTTAGGCTTTTGAATTTATGGCGATTTTTCTCTAGATATTTTGTTATACAAGTTTCAGTAGCTGCTAAAGCATGATTAATGCCATATAATTGTGAAAACTTTCTGGAAGTTTTTAAAAACTGATATTTTATCTCTTACAAGTATTTTCATCTTTCAGGAAGTTAGAGGGGACAACTCATCAAAGCAAGATGCTCCTCAACATTGTGAATCCATGAGCAAGAGCTTTATCTCTGGAAAGGACGACAATGGCATGGGCAAGCCCTTTGTTGAGAATGTTTGTTGTGTAATGTACCCATTGTACTTCAAAAAGATTTTACTCTTTAATGCCCTACAATGATGAAAAAGTTTATACCAAGTTTTAAGAAGTCATATAGTCCGTCTCTCACGAGTATATGCCTTTCAGGAAATCATCGGGGACAACTCTTCGAAGCAGGATTCACCTAAACAAAGTAAATTCACGACAGGCAAGGATCACATATCTGGAAAGGAAGGGAATGGCATTGGCAAGCCCTCTTTGGAGATTGTTTATGATGTAATTTGCCTGTGTACTTCTAATCAATCTAGTTGCTCTTTATGCCCTGTAATACAAAAATTATTGAAAATTTGTGGGAAATCACTTTATTCTCTTATGAAGATTTGTTTTCAGGAAGTTAGCGGGGACAACTCTTTCAAGCAAGATGCACCTCAACATTGTGAATCCACAAAGGGCAAAAGTCACATATCTGAAAAGGAAGAGAACAGAATGGACAAGCCCTTTTTGGAAATTGTACATTCAGTAATGACCCTGTCTACCTCTAATAGATGCTATTGCTTTTAAATGTAATTAAAGTTTTGACGTCTGAAAGGTGATACCTAGGCTGTGGATGAGAGCAAGGTCCTGGATGAGCTTCCGCCTGGATGGATAAAAGAAATTAGAGCCAGAAAACAAGGCACGAGAAAGGACCCGGTAATTTGATTTCTTCTCTTCAATGGTTGTGGTTTTGTACAACTCTCTCTCTCTCACACGCGCGCACCTGTGCTGGGTGTATATTTTTGCATCTATTTGTTTGCACTTGTGAGAATAACTGTCTGATGAATGAGAGTGGCTGTTACAATATTTTATTTATTCTCCTCTATATTCAACACACAATGCAGTAATGAGGATTGGCTTTGGATTCTGGATAGAGCTTGAATTATGGATTTCTTTTTCGCATTCTTTTGCAGTACTATATAGACCCCGTGAGTGGATACGAGTTTCGCTCAAAAAAGGATGCTTTGCGCTATCTGGAGTTTGGAGACATTAGTCGCTGTGCAATCACACCAAAGAAAAGGGACAGAAATGATCTGAAACTGGTTGAGCACGAAGTCTTTGTAAGTGTACACCATGCCTGAATGCCATGATTAATAATGTGTTTTTGTTTCCTTTTGTTTCTATTTTTCTCCATTTACCCAATAACCAGAGGTGGATTGGAGTTGGAAAACCTTGAGTGTCCTTGGCACTTTTTATGAACAACCATTCCAAAGTGCTATTCACTTGATTAGGAGACAATTGACATTGATGTATTCTAATCACATGATTTGCACTGTCTGCCACATTTCTGCCCTAAAAGTGAGAAAAGTAAGCTTGATCTTTCTTCTCTATCTTTCATTTATATTGAGGAGAGTGAAACTATCGACAAGAAGCACACTGTTGTAAGGAAAATTCTGTTGAAGTAGGGAGTGTTTTTTCAGCAGGCAAACTGTCAGAAAAACATAAAAAAAAAATTTTGATGAAGACTAGAAAAACAATATCTAGTGTGAGGAAACTCTGCAAAACTTAGGTGGAAATTACAAGAAGCAAATTGAAACTGTAGGCAAACTTCTAGAACTAGTTTACAAGCACATTTTTGTTGTGGTTGTTCTCTTTTGATTTTCACTAAAGCACTTGGTATCCTTATTGTTTGTCATGTTTTTCTTTTATATGCCCTTTAACAGAGCATGTGTTGCGTTTCTATATTATGAAAGCAGCATATGATAAATTGGAGGTCCTAATAGCTGTACATTACCTGTTGACTCTTGTTAGGCTCAACCTGATGGGAAGAAACTGGGACAAGCACTAGGTGGAGGACAACTTTTTGGTGGTCAGAAGGCAGAGAGTAAGAAAATTCTGTTGTTTAAAATTGAATCATCTTAAATGGCTTGTCAAGTGTCCAGTATAATACCTCCTGCTTCAAATAAAGGACTTACCATGGTGCAGATGATGGAAGCTTTCTTAGAAGCATTGCAGCAGCTCCAGAAGCTGAGAGATCACAGGAAACTAATGCTGATAATAAATCTACTGATGCCAAGATCTCAACTTCAAAAGTTGATGCAGTTCAAGAAATGCAGTTATGCTCTAAAGAAATTAAGTGTGATAGAGCATGGGAAAACCCTCAGCCAAAATCTGAATGCTCTAAACTAGAAATGAAGGCTGTTCATGACATTGGAGCTGTTTCCAGCATTACAACGGCTGTCTCACATGAACAGAAGAAGCCAGAGATTGAGAGTTCAAGGGAAACTCCAAGTAATGATAGATATGCTGATACTAACATCACTACGTCGACAGTTGATGCAGTTGTCCTTCAAATATGCTCAGAGCTAAATAATTGCGATAGATCAGCAGGTAGGTCTCATCCAATAGTTGAAGGTTCTAACCTAGATCTGGAGGTTGATGTTAATGGAGCTGTATCCAGTATTGCAACTGCTCTCTTGCATGAGCAGAAACATCCACAGGAGTATTTAGACACAGGGACACAGATTCAACCCAAAAAATCTAAGAAAAGAAAAGCTCTGAGCATGCCTCCTCGGTCCTCAAAAAGGCTATCAGGACAAGAACCTGAGATACTGCCCAACATGGGTTTAAGTGAGCGAGCTCTTCGAGCTGCTGTTAGAAAGCCTGGTCAAACAGAAACAAACAACAGCAGCTCTGGTCAAACAGTAACATATGTATCGTCAAGCTTGACTCAGAATTCTGAAGCTAATGGAGGGCAACAGCATATTGATACCCAACTACAGAGAGAGATCATTGCAGATCTCACATCTTGTAAAGTAGCTTTGCTAGAAACAGAGATGCAAAACAACATTGAAAAGCCCTTGCAGGAACAGGCTGTACAAGAGCAAGTAGTGGGCCAGGTAAACGAGGCACAAGAGGAAGAAAACCAAAGATCACAAGATTCGCAGTTCTGGTACCCTTTTGGAGACTCTTTTTCTGATCCATGCTATGAATTTGCTTTCAAGACCCTAACAGGTGAAATACCATTGGAGGATACTCTAGCATTTCCGGGCTGCTTCCAACAACAAATTGAGACATCTTTTACTGAGGGGAATGCTAATTTTGGACTGTCTGAGATTGATAAACCCGCCTTGTTCCAGAATGATGTGCCTTCTCATTTTGACTCTGTCCAGCAAAATGCAGCCGTGGAGCAGGTGCAACCCAAATTAATTACCCCACCTGGAAACATAAATTTACCAAGTTGCAGCAGTTTTGGTTCTCAACAACCCAGCTTGGAGGCCAGGAGTAAGGACTATGAGACAAAGGTTAATTCTTGAATTCTGCTGCTTTCTTTTGGGTAACGATACTCTGCCTTACGTAGGCATAAACGCAAATGACTGTGAAAAAACAAATTTTTGAGTTATTACTTTGTGTCTTCAAGTTTTCAATCTTTTGTACCGTATTATTAATCCTCAGTGCTCTCATAGGCAGTTAGCTTAGATGTATCAGGCATTGTAATAGTTGATACAGCTGTTTACCTTTTAAGGTAAAAGGGTGTGAAAATTCAAAATTGAATCCACATTTCTTCTGATTCTTTTCTGGTTGATACTAGTACATTGTGTATGTGCTGCCTGTTGCGGACATATCAATATACGAAAGAGTGGCTGGTGATCATGATTTGCCACCTTAATAAAACGGGGTAGCAATCATGGGTTTCAATTGTCTGAGCGCTATAAGCTCATCTCTGCAAGGTACTGATGGCTGTTCTTAGTCAGTTCACGGACACCTCATATATGCCGTGGTACCTTCGCGCAAATATTTTTGCTCAGGGACTTTTTTTTTTTTTTTTAAGAAAGATTCTTGGAAAACAATTCTGTAGTCTGACAATCAGGAGCTGAGTGTATAAATCTTACTATTTGAAACTGTCCCCATAGTATTGTGTTCCTAGAACTTGTGTATGTTTGACAGGTTGCATGGTTTTAAATAGGTCAATGTCTTCCTGGGTTCTTCCTATGGATGTACACCGTACATACAAAGTGCATGCTTAACTTGGAAAATACCATATCATCCAAAACCACCAATAAATTACATTTTTGCTGATGAAAATAATGAGCCCTCCATGATCACTCATTGACAAACGATACAAACACAATCAGCCAATACAAAGGTTTATCTTCATGCAACTTCACGAAACTGTTGAGTAATGAACTCCAACCACAGCCCCGCTCAGCCTCAATACGAGGATTCTTTCCATCCACCATAGCTCTCCTCTTGTGCAGAAGAATCACGCTCATACCCTTCCTGTGGAAAAATAACACCAAAAAATCAAGTATATGCCTGCATTACCCATCCAATATGTGTCCTTTGTCTAGCTTGTTTTCTTATGTTTCCATTGGAAGGTTATCGAAACATTTCTAAAAGCATTTCTTTGTTCAGCAAGTCTAAACGGCAATATGTTGAACGTGTTAACTTACCTCAGGAGTGAAGGTGAGGCCAACTCGAATTTCTCCTTTAAATTCCTCATCTTTAACCACATTGTATGTTGTTGTTGGGATGGCTCCTTCAATAAATGCTGGCTCAAGAGGAATTCTGATAGGCAATTATATAAGATCAACACATGCAAAATCTGAGCCATTCTTCAGTTGACTAAAAATAAGAACTTTATAGTTGGCATTACTGCTCAAACCCCATATCATTGCTTATCGCATCCTAAGGATCAAAAGCACTAAACCTTCGCAAACAAGGAACACTTACCATCTTGAGTGAAATTCAGAAGAGAACTTCTGATTCTTAAATTACCATGCTCAGTGTTTTGTGATTCGGTAAAAGCTAATCAGGACCAAGTAAGACCAACCGCAAACGCCAAAAAACATATCATCTTGTTTAGATCTGAGGGATTGATAAAATTGACAAAAGGAAAAGGAAGCTACTACATACTTTGCCTCTCCCACAAAATCATCCCCCGAACCAGCATCACTATCCAGTATCTTGATTACCAATTCCGGGACACTGTCAGAAATGGTAAATTGGAAAGTCTCGTTCCATTCTGGTTGAGATCCCTGTCCTGTAAAGTTTACTAATTTGTTAGGACAAACTTTTATGGGAGAACTGCACAAATAGTCCCTCACATATTACAAATGTGAAAATTTCGTCCCTCAGATCGAAAATGATCAATTTTAGTCCTTATCAAATAAAAAAGGATCAATTTGAGTCCCTTTTCACTTTTCCGACTGATTTTTGCCCGGAATATCTCACGTGCACACCACGTGGCCAACTTTTCAAGGGTAAAAATGCCAAACCACTTATCTGTTGACTAAAACCAAAATGTAAAGGACGAATACTGTCCAAAAAAAATCTCCATTTTGGTACTAACTCACCGTTCCATCTCCGATTCCTCTCAACCCAAACAAAAAAACTTAATTATCACTACCCACTACCCAGCAGTGGACTGATGTTGATGGAAAGGAGTGTTAGTGACTAAAGCGAAGAAGAAACAGGCATACCAGAGTGATGGACGAAGAAGACATTCAATGGATCCCAAATTACGGTATGTTTTTCTAAACCCTAAACTGTAAATTTTATGGAATGATGTCAGATACTATGTGAATAGTTTAAATACAGTTGAAATAAGCATGATTTGTGCAGTTAAGAAGCATTATTATATTGATTAGGGTTGCTGGTGGTCAATTTTATGTATTAAATTGTTGTAAGTACATGTGGTCCCTTGTATTGTGCTGTGTTGTCGCTTTACATAGATGGGCTGTCGGTCCCAAAACAATTTTTTTGTTGTTAACTGTCTCCTAAATGGTTGGCAGATGGTATGAATCGATTTTTCATTAGGGTCCACTATGGAGGTGAATTCACTGAGTTGCCGAACAAAGAATACCGCGGGGGTAGTGTAAAAATTGTTAACTGTTGCAATCCTGACAGATGGTCTATATGTACACTTGATAGGGTTGCAGAAAAACTGGGTTATCCTGAGTTTACTGTAATATACTATTACTTAATACCCGGGAAGAACATGGAGGATGGGTTAGTGTATGTGTTATGTGAAGATGTTGCTCAGGATTTGGCTAGAGACGGAGTGAAATATGGTTTGGTTGATGTATACCTTGTGCACTTAAAAACCTACTCCATAAGTGAATGTGAAGCTGGACCATGTAAACCAAAAGAGGGGACTGATCCTAAGGAAAATCAACAGGGTAGTAAGGTGCATGAAGAACCTTCTGATGTAGAAGAAATAATGTTGACTAATATTCCTGTAACTCAATCAGAAAATGAGGGTGAAAATGATAGCATAGGTGCTGGTGTGTCAGGAGTTAATAAACACATAGAGGAAGCAGCCATAGGAGAGAACTTAGGTGAAATGCTTTCAGAAGTTGACATTAGAGTTGCTGATAAAGGGGATAGTGCAGCAAATATAGGAGGGCCTGATCAGAATTTTAGAAAAGAACAAGATTGGACAAACTCAGAAGTACAGAATACAGGAAAAAATGCACCTTCTACTAACAAATCACCAAAAGAGAAATCATTAAAGAAAAAATCCTCAACAAATAAAGAGCAGGCTGAAAAAGTTGAGAAAAAGAAGAAGAGTAAGAAGGAGACACATGCTGAGGAAGATGAGGAATGTGCTGATGGTGACAAGTTCATTGATAGTGACTATGAGTTCAGTGATGAAGAAGACATAGTAAAATCTGTTAAAGACAGAAAAGCTGAATGGGAGAAAATTGCCAAAAATTGCAAATCAAATAAGAGTACAAAGGAAAGAACATGTCAAGTGGAGAATGCTGAGATGGAAGAAGATGCTACTGACTCAGATGAATTTGATAGTTGGTGTGACTCAGAAGTAGAAGAAGATCAGCCAAGAAAAAGAGCTAAGTTTCCAAAATTTAACCTTGAAACTGATATGATTGATCCCAAATTTGAGGTTGGGCAGATTTTTACTTGTAAGCAGTTGTTCATGAAGGCATGCAAGAGCCATGGAGTGGTTCACGAAAGGAAGATAAAATTCAGTAAAAATGATGGCAGAAGAGCTATGGCTTATTGCAAGGACTGTAGCTGGAAAGTTTCTACAGCTGTTATGCTAGATAAAAAGACTTTTCAAATCAAGAGCATGCAAGGTAAACACAGTTGTGGGAGGACATTTGACCACGGACTAGCAAATTCAACTTTTTTGGTTGATAGATACAAAAAGGAGCTGGCTGCCATGGCCGACATGAAGGTGAGTACGCTCACAGATAAAGTGAAGACTGATGTTAATGTCAACATCTCTAGGTGGCAAGCTTATAGAACTAAGAAAAAGGCAGAGAGTTTAGTTAATGGTGAACATGAAGCCCAATACAACAAACTAAGAAACTATTGTAGGGAAGTAAAGAGGGCTAATCCTGGCTCAAATGTTTTCATGACCACTGTTGAAGATGATGAGGGAGAAGATAGGTTTGAGAGGTTGTATATTTGTCTCAATGCATGCAAGACAGGCTTTTTAAGTGGTTGTAGGCCTGTTGTCGGGTTAGATGGCTGCCATCTTAGAGGGCCCCACAAGGGTGTGTTGCTTACAGCTGTAGGAATTGACCCCAATGATCAGTTGTACCCCATTGCCTATGCTGTGGTGGAAATAGAAAACAAGCTGACTTGGAAATGGTTCGTAGGTGAATTGCTGAATGACCTCCAAATCAGAGATGAAAATCATTGGACAATTATTACTGATAAACAAAAGGTATGTTAGTGTATTTTTCTGGGATTTTTTTAAACTGAGTTTGCTAGTTTTAATTTGATGATCTGGTTTCACCTTTTTATTTGTTGAAGGGACTGATTCAAGCTATTCAAGAGTTGCTTCCAGATGTGGAGCATAGGATGTGTGTGAGACACATGTACAATAACTTTAAAAAGCTGCATGGTGGTTTGGCATTAAAGGAGAGAATTTGGACACTTGCAAGAGCTCCTTACAAAAATCTGTTCAAGGCTTTGATGGAAGCTTTGAAAGCAGTTGATGAGGGTGCATTTCAATGGTTGGTTGACAACACAACACCACAGCAATGGTCCAGAGCTTACTTCAGAACCTCCCCTGAATGTGACATTTTATTGAACAATCTTTGTGAGAATTTCAACTCCAGCATTTTAGAAGCAAGGGAGAGGCCTATACTAGGTATGTTGGAAACAATACGACTTTATTTAATGGTTAGAATGGAGAATAAGAGGGAGTGGATGCAGAAGTATATAGGAAAGGTATGTCCCAAAATTTTAAAAAAGTTGGAAAAGGTAAAAACTGCTTCTAGTGCATGTATAGCTACACCTTCAGGGGACTGGAATTATGAGGTGAGATGTATGTATGGGGATAGGTACACTGTGAATTTGGCTAGCAGAACTTGTAGTTGTAGAAGGTGGGAACTAAATGGCATTCCTTGTGCTCATGCAATAAGTGCCATTACTTTGACAAAGGAGTCTCCCGAGAACTTTGTTCATGAATGCTACTCAAAAGAGGCCTATATGAAGGCATATGGGCCTATAATATATCCTCTCAATGGTGAGCATTTGTGGAAGGATTTGAAACAGGGGCCTGTCCTACCACCTGAAACCATCAAGCTTCCTGGCCGGCCAAAGAAGGTAAGAAGAAAAGAGCCAGATGAGCCACCAGCTACAACAACTTCTCGAGGACAAACAAAAAGACTGTCTAGAGTTGGTCTAATGAATTATAAGTGCAGAAAGTGTAAACAGAAGGGCCACAATAGTAGGAAGTGTCCAAACAGTCATGATCAAGAGAATGTCCAGCAACAAGCTGCTGCGGTTACAAGTAGCTCTCAATCACAACAGCAGACTCCCAACACTATGAATCCTGGTGCAAACAAGCAGTCCCAACCTCAGCAGTCCAATTTCACACCTGAAGCAGTTTTGGTGCAAGTGGCTCTCAATCACAACAGCAGACTCCCAACACTATGAATCCTGGTGCAAACAAGCAGTCCCAACCTCAGCAGTCCAATTTCACACCTGAAGCAGTTTTTGGTGCAAGTGGCTTGGAGACTGATACAAATGACCAAGTCTTGTTTGATCTCATCAGTCAAATCCCAAATCAACCTACAACCAGCCAACCACCTACTTCAACATTGACAACAAAGAATGCAACATCTCCAGTTCATGTTTCTCTATTTGTTCATACTAATAATAGCATGTTGACTTCTTTCTATACTATTATTTATTTACTTGAATTTCTGGTTGCCAATTGTCAGGGTAAGAAAGTCAAGTACAGATATGGTGTATGTCGGAGATTTGGACACACTCGAAGTAGTTGTGATTCAACATTGGCCTCTCTCTATAAGAGACACCCATGGGAACCACCTGGATTGGCTGTAAGTATCGTCTACTATGTGCATAGTCTAAAGAGACTGCAAAGATATCTACTTTTAAGACTGCAAAAATTGCTATTGACTGTAAGTAATGACTTCTTCATTGTTTTTTTTTGTATCAGAGGCCCAAGAATACTGCAAATATATCTACTTCTAAAAGTGCTGCAAAGAGGGCTAAAAAGGCCTAGATGACTGGCCTGTTATTGCAAAGAGGGATGACTGCAAAGATATCTACAAAAGAGTGCTACAAATGGTGGATATAATAAAGAATCCACAAAAGAGTGCTGCAAATGGATTATTTTTCGCCTTTTTGTCTTGTATTTGACTTCAGCAGACCTTTTTTTGGAGCAATGGAATTGACTTCTTAGTTCATTGCATTTTTTTTTATAACAGGCGTATTGTAATGAATGTACTTGGCTCGGTTATGTACTGTTTTTTTTCATTGCAATGGAATGCATGCTCTTCTTATTTTTGAAGGGACTGATTATTGGTTAGTTGAACCCTCAGCAGATGACATTGGCAGGACTAAAGAATGAATATACAATTATGTTGTCTCCAATTTTGTTTACTGACACAAATATTGAGTAGTTAGTTAATGTTGTTGAAACCTTGCCAAGTTCTGATATGGCTTAATCCTTAAAAAGTTTTTGGCAGGACAGGTTTTAATGTTGTTGGTCTCATATTTGGCTGACTAGACATGGTGGACTGCAATATGAAATCTTGTGTTAATGCCTTCTTCCCCTTTCGGCTTTCTTCCCTCTCCTGCTGTTGCTGCTTCGGTATAGCAGCAGTTTTGACAGATTCTTTTACCTACCAACTCTGCAATATCGCCATTATCATCTGCATTATCTTTCAAGTTAGACTTTTATTCCATCTTATGCTGTAAGCTCATATTCAAGAAAAAATCACAATATACCAGAAAGAACTTAAGCTTCATAATTGCATTCCAACTCCCATTTGTACAATCAACAGGGCCACTAAACGTAACCCAACCTAAGTACAACAAATAAAAGCCACCCAGTTCCCAGTTCACCACCCAGTTCCCAGTTCACCACCTGCACCAACAAATGCCAGTTACAACTCAATCTTTGCTCAATAAATTCTGCACTATGAATACAACAAAGGCCGCAAACAGGAACAATTTCATCATTTTCTCCTTGCGTCTTGTTTCTTCCACCTTTGCCTCCAACTCTCTTAATCTCTTCGCCAATCTTCTTGTGTGTCTCACTAATTTATCGCACCTCTCGCAACTGTTTGTATCATACCACTTGAAATAGCCATAGCCGCCACCACCATTATGCTGTTCAAAATTACCTCTTCAAATTTCACATTTTCTAAAAGAAAAAAGAAACAGAAATCAGGCACACTTACTTCGTAGTAAGCGCAACCGTAGAACCTCTTTCCTGGATTTTCAGCTGTCCACGACGTCTTCACCCTAGCTGGTACACCGCAATTACAAGTTGGTGGTTCTGCCATGGAGATGAGGCTCAGCTTTTGGGTTTGGTTGAAATGAAGAAGAAGAAGAATTTTGGGCAGTATTCGTCCTTTACATTTTGGTTTTGGTCAACAGATAAGTGGTTTGGCATTTTTACCCTTGAAAAGTTGGCCACGTGGTGTGCACGTGAGATATTCCGGGCAAAAATCAGTCGGAAAAGTGAAAAGGGACTCAAATTGATCCTTTTTTATTTGATAAGGACTAAAATTGATCATTTTCGATCTGAGGGACGAAATTTTCACATTTGCAATATGTGAGGGACTATTTGTGCAATTCTCCCAACTTTTATTTAAAGAAGACAAAGTTACTGATCATCAAACAATGCCCAAAATGCAGGAAATCCCATATAAATATTTCTGATCAAGTTCCCAAAAGCTTAAAAAAAAAAAAAAAAGAATTGACAAGTTGACTTCACCTGATGCAACACTGCTTTTCTGCTCCTGACTGCGACAGGTGATGATCACATAGGGATCCATATTATCTGCTCAATGCCCAAGAAGAATTACTCAAAGACAACATTAACTAGTCAAAAAAAAAAAAAAAAAAAGTGATCCATTTCTTAGGCAAAGTGCTTCTTTTATCCTTTTTCTCCGAAATTTCAGCCATTAGAAAAAACCCCCACATCATTTTTTTCAGATAAAAGGAGTATATTCATCCCAAACAAAACCAAAAAGATCCAAAAGAAGAAAAGGAAAAAAGTGACTGGGATACCAATGACGGCCTGATCAGCAATTTTGATCACACGACTAATTTACTTACTGAGAAAATCAGTGTCCTCGAGGCCCTTAGCATTAACAAGGAGGACTTCAAGAGTTCCTCGTGGCATTTTTCACCCAAATCAAATAAAACAAATTTGGAGAAAAATGGAAAAGACTCAGAAAAGATCAGCAGATTTTCTTGCGGAGGATTTTTGGACAAAGACGCCAGGACCGGAGACATTCTTTCTTTCGGCTATTTATACGTTGGAATGGTAAAGACCGGTTTTGAACAGTATTGAACCGGGTTGAGTTTGATTAGATGCGGGAATAAACCGAAAACGTGGTTAAGTAGTAGGCATCCAGCGCGACACCAGTGGCGCAAATCCAGGTAGCGATTACTTTGAAAATGGAAGGGGAGACTTTCACGTTTCCATACGATAGGATAGTCGGTCGAACAAATATTTAATTGAGAGATTTGAACTGTTATAGTATCGTATGAACGATACGTTTCACTGGGCACAGAGAGGAAATGCAGAGAAGAGGGAATGGGTGACCAGAATTTATGTTCAAGTTGATGGAAATGATTAAATGGTCATTGCAGCTGGTTTCCCCTACAGTTTCTTGTTTCCTTTGGTGCACTCTTCTGTTTATTTATATTAAACAAAAAATATATAAATATATATATATGTTAACGAGTGTTCAATTCTATTAAATAAATGCATAATAAAATTATGGATGGAATTGGATCTGATTATAACCCAAAAAAGGGGGAAAAAAAAAGAGATCTGAGCCATTAACCTTTAGCAGATTAAACAGAGGACATGGCAAACTTTTGGAGAGTCTTGCAGTTCTTGAAAGTTTTGCACAAAACATAAGGATGCATATATTATGTGTATAAAACAAAACATGAGCTTGGGCCTTGGTGGATTCTTTACCATTCATTGGAGGTCGGTTTGTTTGTCATATTTCCTTTATATCACATCAATATTTCTGTTTTTTATTTTCTTTTTCAGGAGAAGAGATAGGAGGAAAATATAGTTCTTTTTTTTTCATATATTAGTTAATTGTGTCACCATCTCAAGGTGTTGCCATGATTATGTTCACATAGCGTGCAATGTGCTAATGATTAAATCAACGCATTGTTCAACTTTCTTAAGTCTTCATAAACTGACAAACATAAAGGAATGATGCATTGCCTAAAAAAAAAAAAAGGGGGGAGTGATGATGCATACACACCCCTACAAACAACCCCCCCCCCAAAAAAAAAAAAACTATAATGATGTTGTCTTGTGGAATTCCAAGGTTGGCGAAATCAGGGAAAAAGATAAGGGTTTAGTCGTATTAAAAGATATTGTTTTAGTGCAAATCCCATTGAAGTGCCTGCACGAATGGACCCAAAGACGAGGATTTTTGAATTGTTGCTAACGGTGAAAGGTACATACTCCCAAGGAGTAGGAAAATTAGGAAATTGTTAGTATTGATGGAAGGCGGCCTAGTAAGAAGAATGGAGAAGTCAATTTCTGATGCCGAAATTAGACTGGTGGAATCAAGAACTTAGATGAGGGAGAAGACCAATTCAGAAGTATTAAACCAAGAAAAGGAAAAAATGAATTGACCATTTTAACAGTTTTGCCAAGTCGTCTGCGATTTTCTCAATTCGGAGTAAAAGTTAAGTGGTATACACAAAAACGTGTGTGGACTTGACTTGGGGTCAAGCAACAAGTCCTCTACCAACTAATTAATGCCGGCAAGAATATATATATATATATGGCTAGCATTTCACTAAAGATTAATGACCACGAGTATCAAAGAGAAAAAAAATGAAAAGATGATTAATGACCATGATTTGCTCCTTAACAAAAATTGAAGCCTGTGCTACTCCTAAAACGCTCTGGATCATAACAAACACTATACTTTTTAGTTGACATATGATTACATAGAAGTGTGTTGGAACTTGACAAGGCAAGAAGTGCCTCTAAATGAATAATTGGGCTCTACTAAGGGCAGAAGACTACCCTATAGCTGCCGCCTGCCGGGCAGGTAAATGTACTAGTCTGGTCATCTTTTGGGTAGCTGTATGCATCTGGGCACCTTTCCTTAAAAAATCTGGAATAGTTGGTCGGGCCACAATTGCCGCCTGAGTTGCAACAGTACTGATCAGTCTTGAAAACGGTGCATGGATTGTTGCAACCTCCTGGAGCTTTAAGCACACTTGGGCACTGCCCATTTATGTCGGCGGCGCACCTGATGCCGCCGGTGCATCCAGTGGATGGACGACTAAACTCCATTGGCACATTGAAGCCATCAGTGAGGGAGATGTCGAGGAAGTCCAGGTTATTGAACTGGTTCAGTGCGTATTCTGCTAGAGTATTTGGTGGTGCACCGTAGGCAGTGCACTGAAGAAGTCCACCACAGTCACCGGTCTGACAGCTGCCGCGACCTCTTCCATCGAAGCTGCAATTTGTTCTAGCCCAGATACGACTTCCGGCTGTTCCGGCTGGCACGCTGAGGATCCATGTATGGCCATTATCTAGCCTCTGCCCACCGCCGGGGACCGCTGCAGCCCAAACCGTGTAGTTACAATTGTTTTGGATTTCGAAAGTGGCCGCCTCAGTGGAGGTTGAGAGGAGGGTGATTATTAGAACCGTAGAGGTAAGGAGAAATTTGAGGAATCTCATGGCAGCACAGCAATCAACTATGGAGCCAGTTTTCTTGATTTATTGCTATTACTAATATTAAATACTAGTCAATCTTTTCCTGGTCGGCGTAGGACTAGGGAGATAGATGTACACGGTCACAGACTGGAATGATTGACCTAGAAAAGTCATCATACGAAGTTACATCAAAAAATATATATATATATAATGAGAGAAGTATCAATAATGAATCTTCTAACTTGCCAAGGATGTTTTTTTCTTTTGGAACAATATCATATCAAGGATGCTAGAATTTCTTCTTTTTTTTTTTTGCCTGGGGATGCCAAGAAAATTGAAATCTAAACGAATTAACCAATTATGTGTTCACTCGTATTAAGGGATTGCAGAATTTATTTATGAACGCGCATTGATAAGTACCATTCCTTAAACTCAAAAGTCAATCCAACTGTCTATTTGATCTTAGAGATGTATTTGTACATCACTACATGATGTGCTGCTTGCAACATAGACGGGAGTGTTTAGATAGCAAACTATCTCAAATAATATTTAGTTTATATCATAAATACATTTTCAATCTATTTTTTTATCTCATATATATCACATTAAAGAAGTGTTACAGTAATTATTCCAAATAATACTTCAAATAATACTCTGTTCAAGCAAACCCATGCGATACCATATTTGACTGTGTAGCAAGAATTTTTACTAGGATCTTTGGTATTGGTCTAAGGGCAAGAGACAACCCTATAGTTGGTTCCTTCAGGGGAAGTGAAAGTGCTATATCATTTAATTTGAGCACACCATATTCGAATGAAGGGGCAGTAAAATCTCCTGATGATGATAAACACTTGATTGAACTATTACAGAGTGTTGGTACTTAACGACTTACAAGTGCCTCTAACTCTAAGTAGTTCGGCTCTACTAAGGGCAAAAGACTACCCTATAGGTGCCGCCTGCTGGGCAAGTATATATACTACTCTGGTCATCTGTTGGGTAACTCAATGCATTCGGGCACATATCCTTAAAAAATCTGGCGAGGTAGGTCCGTTCACATGTGAGGCTAGAGGTGCAACAGTATCCACCAGTATTGAATACGGTACAAGGACTGTTGCAACCGCCGGGAGCTCTAAGCTTAGGTGGGCACTGTCGTTTTATGTCGGCGGCGCACCTGATGCCGCCGGTGCAGCCAATGGACGGACGACTGAACTCCATTGGCACATTGAAGCCATAAAGAAGGGAGATGTCAAGGAAGTCTTGGTTATTAAACCCGTTCAACGAGTATTCAGCTAGAGTAACTGGGGGTGCATGAACACCGTCGACTGTGCACCTAAGAATTCCCCCGCAGTCACCCGTTTGACAGCTGCCGGTGCCGTTTGAGTTGAAGGTACAGTTGGTTCTAGCCCATATACGACCAGTTTGACCTGCGGTGGTTGCTGCCACGTTGACAGTCCATGTTTGGCCGGTAGTAAGCCTCCGGCCGCCGCCGGGAGTGGCCGCAGCCCAAACCGTGTAGGCACAGTTGTTTTGGATCTCAAAAGTGGCCGCCTGAGTGGAGGTTGTGAGGAGGGTGATTGTTAGAACCGTAGAAATAAGGAGAAAGTTGAGGAATCTCATGGCAATAATCAACCATGGAGAGGGAGGGGAGGATGCAGTTTTCTTGACTTTTGTGTTATTACTACTACGTAGTAATTACTACTATAGTATTTTCCTGGTAGAATTTAGGAAGATTAGATGTCCCCCATTCAGCTGCTTCCATGGAGCTGCAGACTAGAATGATTGACTGAGAAAAGTCCTCATGTGACGTAACATCAAAAAACCATAGGAAGAAAAGTCTAATGTTTCTGAAATAATTGTTAGGCACCTGCCAAGCGTATTGTGGATCTAAACAAACAAACCCAATACAGGAATTTAGTCCAAAAATTACCACACGAGTTGGTCGTCAGCGTCACTGATGGCAGAAAGTCATTAATTGAGACTTGGTGGACATTTAGGCCCAGTAGCCAACCGGTCCTCGCATTAACTGGATTAAACGGTCTTGGACCGGATTTGTGTGTGTCAATAGCATAAAACGGGCTTAAGCATTCTTTCTTTCTTTCTTTTTTTTTCGGAAAAAAAAATATATATTTTGGTCGAGATCTTAGGAGCAGCAAAAGAAAATACTTTAAAGAAATGTCCCAAGACCCAACACGGACATTAACAAATTAATTAATGTAGGCACAAATTAATGCGCCTTGCTAACTCCAATCTTCCCCTTTCTTGTTTTCTTCATTTCCCATTGAAGAAGATTTGAAGTCTCTTTTAAAATTTTTTTAAAAAAATTAAAAGAGAAGGATAGCCAACGAATTTGATTAGCTTTAGACGATATCCTTGTTTACGCAAAAAAGGTATCAAATGGACTTCTAAATGCCAAAGGCTGCCCCCCCCTTTTTTTTTTTTGGGTAACAAAGATATAAGGGATGGTAGAATTTCTTGGGATGCAAAGGATTTTTTTTTTTTTAGGATTCCCAAAAGAAAAAAAAACCCAATTACGTACAATATTACATGCGGACTTAGCCTTCCCATGCAACTTCTCGGAGGTGAAAGAAAAGAAAAAGGAAGAAGGAAGAGGAGTGAATAACATCGTTGCACCGTCATGCTTGTAGAAATCCAAGGGTTTGGCCCAAATTACGTAGAAAGAGATCATGCATTCAGCTGTGTTACTATAAGGGATGCTTAAGTTTTATTCATCAACGTGCATTATTAGCTACTTACACCCAATCTCAATCCAACTGTATATTTGGACTTAAAAGAAAGATGCAGTTGCACATCACTACATGTGCTGTTGCAACATATTATTTAGCGTCGGGTACTATATTTGACCATGTAGGAAGTAACGAGAATTTTTAGGATCCTTGGTATTGGCCTAAGGGCAAAAGACAACCCTATAGTTGGTTCCTGCAGGGCAAGTGAAAGTGCTAGTCTGGTCATCTTTCGGGTAGCTGTATGCATCTGGGCACCTATCCTTGAAGAACTTGGAATAGTCAGTCGCACTGCAGCTGCCTGAGTTGCAGCAATACTGATCAGTCTTGAAAACAGTGCATGGATTGTTGCAACCTCCTGGAGCTTTAAGCTCACTTGGGCACTGCCCATTTATGTCGGCTGTGCAGCTGATGCCCCGGGTGCAGCCATTGGATGTAGGGCTGAAATCCATCGGCACATTGAAGCCATCAACAAGGGAAATGTCGAAGAAGTCCAGGTTACTGAACTGGTTCAATGCAAATTCTGCTAGAGTATTTGGTGGTGCACCGTAGGCAGTGCACTGAAGAAGTCCACCACAGTCACCGGTCTGACAGCTGCCGTGGCCACTGCCATCAAAGTTGCAGTTTGTCCTACCCCAAACGCGACCTCCGGTTGTGCCGGCTGCCACGTTGAGGGTCCATGTTTGGCCGTTATCTAGACTCTGGCCACCGCCGGGGACGGCTGCAGCCCAGACTGTGTAGGGACAATTGTTTCGGATGTCGAAAGTGGCTGCATGGGCGGAGGCTGAGAGGAAGGCAGCAATGAGAAGAGTGGAAAAGGCGAAAGAATTGAAGGTTTTCATGGTTAAGGAATGGAGAAAGTTGTGCTTGTATGAATGAGGCTTAAGAGAATGGGTGGGTATTTATAGGATTTGTGGGCATACGGGACTAGTGGGAAAGTCAGGCCAAAGTGTCTATCCTAATGTCATTGGACAATTTGAAATGGTATTATTTCCAGTATACTGAATGGGTGGATAGATTGACTAAGCACTTGCAGTCTTGGAGAAGAAAATTCAAGTCAGGGCAGCCACTTCTTAGTTCTTACTTGGGGACGGGCAGAAAAGCTAGCATTGAAAGACTTGGGGCCCATTCTGTGACCACGTTTCCAGAAGATGGCCCAGAAAAAAAGATTTATTTTTTTAATTTTCTTTCTGTTGAGCAAGAGGGAATTATTATGCATTTTAGAATACAATTTGGCGCTTTACTGACATTCCACTTACCCAAGACAAAAAAAAAAAAGTGCTTTACTGAGTTTCAAGTGGCAAGCTAAATATTTTTGTGAAGTACTCCAGAATCAATCCTCTAGAATTTTATTTTCTTGAGCTACTTTTTTTTCTAAATAATTTAGGAGGATCAATAATAGTTTCCCACTTACTCTTTAATGACTCGAATTCGTGACCCACAATGCTGATTACAAATAAAACATTTTATTAGTTAGACTATGCTTCGTTGTCTTATGAACCCCTACTTACAGCGCCCATGCAATGAGAGAGAAGATAACAATCCATCTTCACTGTTTACATCTATTTTCATCTTTTATTTTAGAGTAATTCTATTTTCTACGATTGGAATAAGCGGTACGTACTTATTGCAACGACGCGTACTTACCTTTCATGCCGCCCATTGTGAATTACGTAGTAGAATTTTTCAACAAAGAATGCCAGCCATGGTAAAACGCACTATATATTTGTTTCTTTAGTAGTATGGTTCCCATGGGAACGGGCCCGTGATGCAGGAAACTGTTAAAATCAACTCCGTTTATGTTTATTTGCAATTTTTTTAAAAAAAAAAAAAAAAAAAAAAAACTTTAGATTGCATTTACCACTTCTCTTTCTACAAATCTCGCTTTCTTGATTAGGATTTGCTATTAAAGATTCAAATAAAAACTAATCTTTCTAATTTATTGCCTTGACATATTTGAGATTGGATATTCTGTAGAATATGCTCGTGTTGCATCACGGATTAATTAAGCTTCGTTCGTTCAGTAATTTCTGCTTGACACGAAGGTTGGAATATATCAACTCGATCGTATTACCTCCAATGCTGGGGCGTAAATTGTTGAACCTTGCAAATGCCGGTCAGTCGTGGAACAAGAAGGATTGTTGGAACAGTCAAATTGTCAAAGGATGATAAATTAAGTTATTATCTTCTCTACTTTGGCCTGGTATCGATATCTGGACCGTTTCTGTCCATCTGACGAGAATTAGGAAAAGTATGGCAATGTTATCTTGGTTCCCACTTTTTCATCTTTCGTGGTTTAAGTATCAATAAAACTGGAGGAGAAACTAGAAAAAACAGAATTTGATTATGACACAAATGGAATATGAGCTTGAGACCTTTCACAGAATGAGAGAAAATTTT